TCCATTTCTTTCCTCTTCTCAAGTAAGTAAAATAAGAGATTAATCCTTAATAAAATTATAAAATTTTGTGCTCTGATCTTATTTTCTTAAAAAAGATGTATTTATTTTTATCACAAAGTCAGATACACAGAGAGGAGGAAAGACAGGAAGGAACATCTTTCATCTGATGGTTTACTCCCCAAGTGGCCGCAATGGCTGGAACTGAACCAATCTGAAGTCAGGAGCCAGGAGCTTCTTCTGGGTCTCCCACGTGGGTGAAGGGCTGCCCTCGACTGCTTTCCCAGGTCACACGCAGGGAGCTGCATGGGAAGCAGGGCCGCTGGGATTACAACCAGTGACCATATGGGATCCTGGCATGTTCAAGGCAAGGAGAACTTTACCTGCCGGGCCCCATCTGATCTTATCTTAAAATACTTATATAGTCAATCATCCATCTTTCCCTACTGAATACTCTTCATTTAAAAATACTTCTACAACCACATAAGCAAAAAAGTAGAGATGCCCCTCAATGAGCTCATTTTCTTCAATCATAAAATTACATTTCATGTCAATGAAGTAGTCACAGGATATGGTTCAGAACTTGCATTTTTTTTAACATATTGGTTACTCAATATCATGTCGATTAATTCCATAATGTTGTGAATTGTTGATGTTATGTTGGGGCTTTTAATTGATTGGGATGATATTCTGCCAGCTCTACCTTCAGACCAGAGATGGTCTCCCCAAGAAACCGTTGAATTTATCTGGACAATAAAATGCTGGATTCTATGCTTGGTATATGCTTGCAATGAAAGAATCTTGACTGAATTTGAACTGTAATACTGCAACAAGTCGGAGGAATCCAACCTTGAGGGAAAGTTATGGGGAGGGGTTGGCAGAATCCCAGAGCCTATGAAACTGTGTCACATAATGCAATGTAATTAATAATAATAATAAAAAATTACATTTCAAATCAAACCATTTTGTTTTGTCTCTGTTCACATTCTGAGTTTTTCCAAATTCACTGTTTAAGTGAACATTATTACAGCTAGTCTCCAATAAGGCTCCAATGATCCCAGTCTTCTGGAATTTAAACCCATGCACAAAGCCCCTCCCATTGTGTGTGGGCTAGACTCAGTGACTAGTTTCTAACGAATAGCATTTGTATTTTTAAAGTGACTTGGCGAACAGGCCATAAAAGTCAGGGACTTCATTATTCTTCTCCCCGTACAAGGAACACACCTAGGAACTGAAGCTGCCTACCAGTCAGTCCCAGGAGTGAGTGAGCTCAGAAGTGATTCCTGTAGCTTAAGTGAAACCCTTGGGGACTGCCAGCTTCAGCCAACAGCTTAACCACAGCCTCCAAGACCATGAGCCAACCTGCCAACCACTCAGATTCCAATGAATGGGTACAAAGGAGCTTCTGGGGGTGACTGAAACATTATCTTGATAATGGTGATGTTTACTTGGGAGTCTATGTGTTCAAATTCTACTTATACAATTAAAGTGAGTGGATATTGTTGTACATAAACTCATTTCAATTACATGGAGTTATTAAAAATGCCATTTATTTAGTTGAGATAAACAGATGAAGGGTCACATACCAAAACACTGTCATAACTAAGGAACTAAAAGGTCATTTGGGAATGAAGCAAGAGCTGCAGTTAAAAAAAAAAAAAACTCCCCAAAACTAACATGCCTTATGCCAACCTAACCTGCTCCTTACTCTGTAGTCTTGCATTTCAGATTATGGCAATCCCATACTCCTAATTGCTCTAGCCACAAAGTTGGAAGTCACTCTTAAATCCTGTTTCTTATACATCACATCCAACCCATAAGTAAATCTTACTGTCTCTATCTCAAACTACATCCAGACTCAATGACTACTTTTCACTACCCTCCACAGTTAACATCCTAGTTTCTTACCAAGATTATTGCAATAGCCAATCTGGGTCTCCTGGCTTCTCTGTTGTCCACTCTGGCCTATTATCAATCCACCAGTTACAGGGATCCTATCTGCATTCATCTGCCCCCAAAACCTGAAGCCACTTTCCATTTTACTCAGCATAAAAGTCCATGTCTTTCCAATGGCTCACTCTGGTCACACAAACCAGCCTGCTCCCTCTTATCCTCCTGTCACCATCACCGACCCTCTTCCTTCTCAGTCTACTCCAGCCACAGTGCCCTGGCTCACGACTAAACAACCCTAAAGGATATGCTTCCAACACAGGGCCTTTACAGTGGCTGTGCTTGTTCTGGAACATCCTTCCCCTCATACTCATAATTTCCTAACCTCTTTGAAGTCAGCTCTTTACCCAGTCTGGCTTACTGAGAGTGATAAACATTCCTGCTCAATGATCCCTTTTTTTTTCACTCCACTTTTCCTTCTTATCACAGCTATTACAATTTTGTAACACCCTGGTTAAATGAGTTGCTCAGTTACATCATAATAAATGAAGGACTTCACTCAATTACAACTAACTCCAAAATCTTAGCCTCTAAGGAAGTTGTCTGAGAGCTGTATATGAATGGGAAAAGAATGAACCTGCATCAGCAGGCAACCAGGCTGAGAAAATACAGAAGATGACACTGATGCTGAATCCAGTAGAAGCAGCAAGGGTAAATAACAGCTGAGAATCCCCTTCAACTTTCCTTTCCTCTAGTCCTAGTCCTGTGGGAACAGAACAAAACCTAATGGCTTTAAGAAAGAGAACATCAAAAAGGAAGAGGAGAAGTGAGACCCCACGGTCTGAGCCCCCTGGATAAGCACACACAGTGTGGCAGCTTTAACTTTTCTCTAAACTCACTGGAGTATTTTATGCCAGTCACCCCAGCAGAATGGGGACCACATACCAGTTTTCTCCTTAAGATTCCTTTCCCCTCTCCAGACTCTTGATGTATCAGACTTGTTGTCAAAATTAAATTGGGAAATACCACCACACACACATAAACATTTACAAATTTACATCTAAGGGAAAGATGCTGTTTTCTAACAGTGTTCCTATTCTTGGAAAATAGCCATGTCTGTTTGTTTACACAATGTCCATGGCTCACACTGCAAGGCAGATTTGAAAAGTTGCAACAGAAGGTTTAGGCCTGTAAAACTAAAAATACTGCTCTCTTTATAGAAAAAAAGCAAAAACTTTCAATACAAGTATCAATAAAACAAACTTTGTGATGCTTGCATCAGTTCTAAAACTCTGTGAGATTTGAAATCACTGTTTTTTAAACATAAGAATAAGCGATTGGGCCTGGCGCTATGGCCTAGCAGCTAAAGTCCTTGCCTTGAACACGCTGGGATTCCATGTGGGCGCCGGTTCTAATCCTGGCACTCCAGTTCCCTGCCTGTGGCCTGGGAAAGCAGTTGAGGACGGCCCAAAGCTTTGGGACCCTGCACTCACATGGGAGACCTGGAGGAGGTTCCTGGTTCCTGGCTTTGGATTGATGCAGTACTGGCCATTGCGCTAACTTGGGGAGTGAACCATCGGATGGAAGATCTTCCTCTCTGTCTCTCCTCCTCTCTGTATATCTGACTTTGTAAAAATAAATAAATAAATAAATAAATGTGGAAAAAAAAAAAAGAGCAAGTGATCTAACATTTTTGTTATTGTTGGTCCTACAAGTATAATCAAAAATATCTGAATGGCTTATGTCCAAGAATAATGTGGTCTTAAAACTAATGAACAGTAGCTTCTAATAGGATTAACACTCATTGGTTAGTTATTAATACTGAAAGACATTAGTGACACTAAAATGTCAATCATGAAGTCTTAAAACAGAAGAGAAAGCAATGCTTTTTTTCTGATTTATATGTTCAGTATTGAGCTAACACGCTAAACAAAGAGTTGAACAAGGAAAAATAGTTTCTTCATTTGGTCACACACAGATGCAAAAGAGATGAAAAACAGCAATTCTACAATGACTTCACAAGTTCTCTGCTTTATATATGAAATAGTAAAAACAAATAATATTTAGACCATTTGCTGGTAATTTACCAATTAAACAAGCTAATACATGCAAAACAAATTACTTCTTTGTATGTGTTAGAAACCTGTGATCTAATCCCCCTTTCTAACTGAAGATCAGTTGATCACCAACAAAATACAAACCTAATTTTTAAGAAAATCTTAATTTTCTATTTATACATGCACATTAGAAACTCTTCTACTAACAGACTAATACAAAACTTTTTTTTTCAAAGCAATAGTCAGACATATGTTTTCGCAAATAAAGTGTTAGGCTATACTCTATTTGTGACAACATTTACAAAGATAATTTAGCAATTTAATAGAAGCATAGAAACACACAAGAAAACAGGAAAAATATGGAACATAAAATTGGATCCAAAACAATTCTCCTTTACTCACAGGTTAGATGACCCAAGACACTGTTCATAAAAATTCCACCAAAATAAAATGAAACATTTAACTTACATTTTAATAATGTTTTCAGCTTAAACATTTCTACCTATATTTTGCATATTGATCCTAAACTGTCAATAAAATTTATAAAACATCTACTCATTTTCCCAGAAAATTCTGCTCAAAATAATTTTCAATTAAAGTTTTCACATTTTCTCAAAATCAAATTTGTTCTATTAACAGAACTAGACAGTTATCCATGGCTATGTATAAATACTATTAATTTTTAAACCTTTAGAACCATTTATCACTTTTCTCTTAATTTTATATTTTTACAGTATACTTTACTAATACTTAATACTTTAGTAAACATACAAAAAACCGTGTCAACGCTCTTTAAAGAATTAAATATTGAAAGTTAAATGCAGGAAAGCACATATTAAAGATTAAAACTTGCTATGACACACATTATATTCCTGAAATGAATAAGTAATATAAAAGCTTAACAATGCTTTAGCACATTTTTAAAACAGAGAATCAAAAAAATCTGATCATATATGTGTATTCAGACCTGTGATCTCTTTAATAAAATGAAAATCCTTGGATAAGCTCCAACAGAACAATTCACAATATTTTCAATTGCAAAGAAATGTTTCCTACCTTGCCTGCTTCCCTTTCTAAGTCGACGTACTCCCGGCTAGGTGTCTGTCGCTGTTCCCCCTGCCAGCTGGCCGGAAAAAACTGGAGAGACAGATTCGTTCCTGTGGCCACAAAAGCCTTTTAGAAAAATCAATACAAACAGGATCAGTAGCAGGACATTACATAAATTATGCAGGCAGTCATTTATTTTTACATCAGTTTATGTCTTAAGCCAGGCAGCAGGGACGATACTTAAAAGTTAAAAAAAAAAAAAAAAAAGAAAGAAAGAAACCATGCACTCATCATTTTTCTTAAGTATTAAGTTACAAACATCTGATTCCATTTTGAGGACATTCGCCATTGGCTGCTTAAATATAAATTCAGACACACAATCAATACTTTCTTTCAGATCATTTTTTGCTGACATTAGGATCCCACATTGCTAGTATCTAGCCAGAAGGCACCATTTAAAAATTCTTCACATTTAAAAATTCTAAATTACATTTCTAAGTGTGAAAACTATTGAAGATCTAAAGATTTTAAGATATATCATGGTGTCTAAAGGAGACATTATAATTTCTCTTGATTTCTCTTGCTCAAGCAAAACACTATATGGCATATGGAACATTAAAAAACTGGAATGCAAAGAAAAGAAGTGTTTTATAAAAGTGCATTTTTAGGCTTAGGCTTTAAAGTCCATGCTTTAAAAAAAATGTACTTCAGATGTGTCTCCCATAATAACCCATGCATTAGCATTAGCAAGTGCTGTGAGGCTACTTCTCTATAAAACCTTTTATGGGGCCCAGCACAGTAACCTTGTACATGCAGGAATCCCATATGGGCACTGGTTCCAATCCCGGCAGCCTCACTTCCCATCAGCTCTCTGCTGTGTCTTGGGAAAGCAGTCAAGGACAGCCCGAAGCCTTGGGACCCTGCACCCATGCGGGAGACCCAGAAGAGATTCCAGGCTCCTGGCTTCGGATCAGTGCAGTTCTGTCTGGCTGCTGCAGCATCTTAAGGAGTAAATCAACGGATGGGAGGTCTTCCTTTCTGCCTCTCCTTCTCTCTATAAATCTGCCTTTCCAATCAAAAATAATAATTAAAAAACATCTTTTATGACAGAAAAATGTACAGATTTTCCAAAATGTTGCTTTTGGAAAACTGGATCTGACTATAACCCAAAGAAGACTATCTGATATTTATAAGATTTAGAGAGTACCACTCAACAAACAGAACATTCTAAAACCATGTCGATAAAGTGGCATTCTATGTTGCCCCTGGGCAATTCAACTCAAGATTCCCCTAAGCAAAAAATAAATACACAAATAACATTACTCATCTTCCCCAAGGAAATTCAGAACAAAGTAAGCTAAAAGCAATCTTGAAAAAAAAAAAAAACATGTTTTTTTATCAATCTAAACTCTTCTGAAACTGGAATTTGTTTGATTTCATTAAGTTACTGTAATTTCATTTTTCAGCAGCCTTCACCTGAAAGCCAGAGGGTCATACTTTGGGCAAAGTGTTTCAAGCCATCGGCTGATTCAGCTCTCCGCTAGTTCCCCTAATGGTTAACAGCTTATTCTTTAGAGGTAAAGCTGAAACTTCCTAATTCTATTATTGGTACAACAGGTACCTTTGTCAACCCAACTGCTAAACTCTAGGTTTCTCTAATGGCATTTCCCTAATCAACTGGGATACCCTTTTCCTGGTGGTGGCAGGTAACAGCTCCAGCCCATGAATGAATACCCAAGACCAAGGCATGCTGCTTCAGCCTGGCATTCACCTTGTGGCAAATCGTTCCACCTCCTGCGAGCCAGATTCAGCTCTGTGCTAAGACATGCTGCAGATCTTATTACCTCACCTCCTGTCTGAATGCCAACCTCAGAAGATATTTCCTGCTTCATCACTTTATGCCCATTATCTCATAGAGATCCCTCTCCAAGACAGAAGTGATAGCAACAGATCATTCTAGAAAAGCATTTTCCAAACGTATTTAACCATGGAACTCTTTCCTTTAATGGAACACCTACACATCTAAGAGGTGGGAAAAATCTGTTCAACAACAAAACAGCTCCATTGATATTATGACTATATCTAAGATTTCCTGTTCTATCTTTCACAAATTACAAAATGGCACACCTTGCCAATTGAGTTCCCTTTACCATTCAATATTCAGGACTAAAAACATACCCACATATTAGATTTTACTTCCAACACCTGAGTCACTATACCTTATCTTAGTTATTTTTTCTTTAGTGTAGAAGACCTATCTCCCACTCTTACTGTGACAAGAATTCATAGGAGAAGTATCCTATTTAACCAGCTAGAGTCTATTGGTCATTCACAATGATTTTATAAATTCATCCTAGGGTAAGGTCTGAGTTTTACCTGAGAATGGTCATGACAGCTCTAAAATATTTCTATATCAAATGAAAACATCACTAATTCCACTGGAATGTGCACACTAAAGAGACGTTCACAATTTTTAAAAAGGATAAAAGAGCAACGGGAACCATAGAAAAATTGGGAACAGCTTCGAGAACTACAGATTTTCTTACCGTGTATGGCTGTTGACAGAGGCAAAATGGTGCCTTTTCCACAACCAAATAGGTAGAAACCATAGCCTTTTTATAGGTCACAAGATAAACTTCAGGCATTAAACAATGTCTAGATTCAAATTATCAAACACCTTTAAGACAAAGCACCTATACCCAGAGGGTAGATACACACAACCATTTCCACCTACTACAAGCTAGGGATTTGCCATTTAAATGGGGGTAATGCCGAATTCAAAGGAAAAAAAAAAAAACAGAGGAAAATGTGAAATTCCTCCTCAAATACAGTGCTGCTATGCCCCCAAAGCACATTCAAATCTACAAAGAAATCTACCTTCTTCAGTCTTTAGTACGCACAAGACACAAAAAAAATATCAAAACTTTATGAGCTCAGGTATTTGGAAAACATCTAATTCAGCCTGAAAAGCAATTTCTGACAAATACAAACGACCTTTAACACTGCTACAGATCATAGCAAAACACATCATACAGCAATTCAGATGTACATGCCAGCTCATAACTGCAGGCCACCAAGTGTGATATGACAGAAGGCATCCCACTAGCTGTGCTATTAACCAGACTTCCAAACACATCAGCTTTAAAAACTTACTACTCTCTCACCTTTCTCAATCCTATCAATTGCCTGCAGCAAATCTTTCGGTTAGAGTTATCCTCCACCCAGCGAGGCAAAGGATACTACAGTCACTACTTCTACTAATAATTGATTGCTTTTTTGTGCTCACTCCATGACAAAACTGAAAAGTATCTAACTTATACATTTACATCACAGACACATTACAACTCCTCAGGCAACACGGAGAGGAATAGTCAAATATTCTAGGAGAACTGATAAATGGAATCAAATTATCTTCCACTCAAATACAATTCTAAAAAACTTCCTTTGAAATAGCAAGAGCATTCTTTAAAAAAAAAATGTGATTGTGGTGATTAAAGAGCAAAGGTTTTATGACATATGAATTACAGCTAGAAAAATGTTTTAAAAATAACATTACAGAGGGTGGAAGAAAATTTTTCCAGTGCGTCTTCCTATTAATCCAAAAGCAAACTCTCCTGTGGTGCCAAGTCTCCGCCAGGGCAATAGGCCCAGGTCCTGGAGCACAGAACAAAACTTCACTAGCGAGTGCCTTAACTTTGTTAAAAACAAACATCCTTTCTTCCTACCATTTCACAAGCAGATAAGATGTAGGACCCTTGGGTGGTGGTTGGTTTCCCCGCTCCGCCCCAGCCCAAGGTGTGATGGAGGCAAGGCACCTGAGGGCTTCTTCGCACAGCCTAACTCGCACTTCCTCAGGAAATGCAGCACCCCACAGCCCCGGGATGGGAATGGTTTCTTTCCGCTTCTCCCGAGTCTTCACACAGGCGAGAGATCAAACTGGCAGGATCTTGGGGTCCCCCTGCCCCTACACCCCTCATCTTTCCATCTGTTAGAACAATAGATAGCAGGAGGCAAGATTTGCTACTCGGCTATTCTGGAAGGGAGGCAGCGTCAACAAGGAGCCTGATCGCCAAGCCCAGCATCTCAAGAACCACGCTGCGGCGGGCCTGCAAGGGTCTCGGCGTCAACATCGCGAGCCCCCTCCCCCGATCGCGTCCCACACAGCCCTCCTCCACGCGCCCCTCGCCGCAGCCTCCACCGACTCGGGCCGGAGCTCCACTCGCGGCCGGTTCCGGGAACCACGAGGCGCGCCGCGGCCGGCCACGGGGGGCGAGCGTCTCCCGCTGAGCCCCGGCCCGCCAGGGTCTAGTTTCGCATTTTGAATCCCGAGTAGGAAGTGAGACGGCGCCCGCTCAGTTCCGGGAGCCGCGGCGGCCGCGGCGTCGTCCCCGGAACCCGCCCGGGGCCCGCGCGCAGCTTCCCCCCCAAAAGCGCAACAAGTGACCCGCCCGGCCGGCCGCGCGCGCCCCGGCCCCGCCGACTTACGATCTCGGAGCGGCCGTCGCGGCAGGCGTTCTGGAAGCGCGCCTGGCGCTCCTCGTGGGGCCGGTCCCTGAAGCCCGTGTACTTAATCTGCAAAAGGCAGAGGACGGCCCGAAATCAGGAGCCAAATCCGCGGAGCCGCCCGCACGCCCTCCCGCCCCGCGCGGCGCCGATAAGCCCAAGCACGGTCTGCGGGCAGACGGTGCCCGGCGAGATTGCCCGTCCTCGGGCGCAGCCGGCCTGGGGGACTCCCCGGGACCGCGCCGTCCCAAACTTTTCTCGGCCCGGGGCCCACTCGGGACGCGCTGAGGCCTCCGCAGCGCGCGCGCCTGCCCGCCGCCCGTCCTCCTCACCTCACATTCGCGGCTCAGCTTCCTGAAGAACTCCTCGTTCTCGAACTTGCTTCTCTGGTCGGGCACGACGCGCGGCATCTTCTCGCCCTGAGGGGCCGTGCCGGCCGGCCGGGCTCGTGGGGGGGAGGGTTTGCGCGGACAGCCGCTGGCCGGCTCGGCGCTGACCGACTGACCGACCGCCCACCCGCGGCGCCCGGACTCCCGCTTCTCTTTGTTTCAGGCGCCCGCCCGCGTGGGCTCCCGCTCCGGGGAGTCTGAGTGCCGCCGCCGCCTCCCGACCCACGCCGCCGCCGCCGCCGCCTCAGCCGTTGCCTGCCGCCCGCGCAGACCCAGCTCTCGCCGCCCCCGGCCGCCGCCGCCGCCGCCACTTCCTCTCGCCGCCCACCTCGCTCGCTCGGCCGCCCGCCCCGCCCCCGTCGGCCCCACCCCTCCTCCTCGCGCGCCCGCCCGCCTCAAACTCCAGCAAACAAGACGCACCATTCACAACTCCGCGGCCCCCGCCGCGCATGCGCCGCCCGCCCGCTTGCGGGGTGGCTGGGCTGCGGCGAGCCAGGCTCCCTCCCGCAGCGCCGCACTCTTCCACACGCGTGGCCACGGACCACTCAGGGTGGAACTGCGCTGTGGGAGGATCTGTCCGGCCCTCTCGGGAGCGGCCTCGGCTGGCCTTTTTTGTCGGCCCCTTCCTCAGCCATCTGGAACTTTAGGGCTCCCCTGACTACTGAATGCGAGGAAACCTAGGTAGTTGGGGACTTTGTGTCCCCAAGTCGACGGGGGGTGGGGTGGGGTGTAGGTTGTGTACACTGAAGACTAAAAGTGGAAACAAACCAAGAATCCAACAGAATCATTATGGAAAGATGGCTGTTGGAGTAGAAAGGAGATCCCATTTTGTAATCTGCCAGCTTCAACACTGGCCAGCAAAGCCTTTTTCCTGATTTTTAAAATGCAGACACTAAGTTCCCTATGTTAGCGTGAAAACTTTTATCTGGGTCTAGCATGGAATGGTTGCTCAATAAATTGAAGTTAAAAAAAAAAACAAATTGAATGGCATAACTCATCGACAAGCCTCATGTTTACCCAAAGTGCAATCAAATTCCGAAAAATAAGATCTGTAAATTCTAGGCAAGGTTTTATCCAACCTGGAGACAGTTCAACACAAGGTTTATAGCAGAGCTTGACTCAAAGTTGGGCTCTCATGATTCTCATTCTTGAACCTTCAGCTTGTCAAAAATTCAGTTCAAGGATGACGAATAATTACCGTGAGGATACCTAAACATAGAAATTAGCGCCATAATCGGTTGGTAATGTCTGCTTGTATGCGGCATTTGGCAGAATTTTCCATCCCTGTACAGTCAAAGCTCATTTTTTACAGTTAACGGAACTGAGCTGGGATGACTAGCCGGCTTGGTTTACCAGAGACTGTCCTGGTTTAAACAATGAAAGTCTCCCATCCCAGGAAACCATTCATTCCCCCTCCACAAACCAGGAGGATGGGCCAGCCTAACTGAAGAACAGAGATTGATTGCCTAAGATTAGGGAATTTCAAGCAGCTGCACATCTGTAGGGTGGAGGTTGTGACAAACACGCTCGTTCTGAACAGCAGACACAGAATCAGCTCATTTCCTGAACATGCCCCTGTCTACTCATAGCCAGTGTCAATATACCTGGATATATGAATACAAAGGATATAGAGATGAATGTTACCAACCTTAAAAATATGGAGTGACAGAGAAAGAGACACACAGAGAGAAATCGTCCATCTGCTGCCTTATGAATCCAGAGGCCTAGAGCTCCATCCAGGGTCATGGGCCATCCTCTGCAGCTCTCCCAGGCACATCAGAAGGAAGCTGGATCAAAAGTAGAGCAGTAGGGACTGGAACTGGTGCTCCACGGGATGCCGGTGTTGCAGGCAGTGGCTTTACTGGCTATGCTAGAGCTCTGGCTCTTATCCAATAATCTCCCCCCCTCCCTCAGGTCTCTTTCACTTGAAAGCTACAGAAATCCAATTCTAACATACCAGAAAGAGATCTGTTGTATTTTGTTTTTTTTTTTTTTAAGATTTATTTATTTATGTTGGAAATACAGAGCTACAGAGCGAAGGAGAGACAGAAAGATCTTCCAGCTACTGTTTCATTCCCCAAATGTCTGCGTTGAGCTAATCCAAAGCCAGGAGCCAGAAGCTTCTTCTGGGTCTCCCATGCAGGTGCAGCGTTCTGAGGCCATGGGCCGTCTTCCACTGCTTTCCCAGGCCACAAGCAGGGAGCTGGATGGGAAGTGGAGCAGTGGGACATGAACTGGTGCACATATGGGACTGCAGTGGTTTAAGATGGAGGATTAGTCAATTGAGCCATTGTGCCAGGCCTGTCTGTTATATTTTAAATAAGCAAATTAGAGAAACAGATAAACATTGTCTGGTTTGCACTCTCATTTTTCTATTTCTTCTCACTGCTTAATTCTCTCAGGCTCTTTTGAATTGCATTTATTTCCTCGCAAAGGACACAAGCAGCCGGGCCCCGCGCGATGGCGTAGTGGTTAAGGACACAAGCAACCACTCCTCCAACTTCAAATCTTTTAAAAAAAATTATTATCCTTGGTTTACTTCCCAAATGGCCACAATGGGCTGGACTGGGCCAGGCTGAAGCAAGGAGCCAGGGATTCCATCTGGATCTCTCACTTGGGTGTCAGGGGGCCAAGAACTTGAACCATCTTCTCATTAGCAGGTAGCTGGATCAAAAGTGGAGCAGCTAGGACTCAAACCAGCATTATTTGGGATGTTGGCAGCACCTGTGGTGGCTTAATCCAGTGTGCTACAATCTCCCCCCTGCCCAAGTTTCACAATTACCAGGAAAAATTTTCTGAGTCACATACAACCCTGACTACCAAATCATTATGTCCAGGCAGATATGATAGGATTACTCAGCTTAGTCATCAGCCTTCCCATCAGGTATTGAGAACCTATGATGGACATTCTTAGATGGAATCAGATGCTCGGATGAACTATTTCCCCAAAAAGGTGGGAGTGAATGAAAATCCACTGTGGGACCACTGAAGCAGCTAGTAAAGGGTGTCATTTTATTTTTGCTCTATGAAAGTCCTGGGCCAAACTAATGTGAAAACTCTATACCCCAGAAGACAAAATGGACAAAACCAGCTGTGTATGACTGCGATCACGTAGGAGGTAAACGAGGCAGCTCCTGCCCCAAGACACAAACTAAATCATTCAAAAAAGGAGAAATCTTCAGACATCTGCCACCTCTTCCATCCAGCTACAAAGACCTTTGGGTGTCATTGTCTCAAACGAGACGTGGCCATTGTCTCAACGAGAAAAAGATGGTGAATTTGTTTCTGGTTGGACAGGAGCTGTTTGATGACCTGTGCTCAAGACACCAGAGTTCCTGTTGCTAATCCTTAAAATAGCAAAACAAACCAAAAAAGGGGGCTGGGGGAATATATATCCAAGAGTATCCATGATATGTGTGAGTAGTACCGTGTTCTATTTGTTTTTGTTTGTAACTTTCCATTTCTATTTTTGCATTTCTTTTTATTATTTTTTTAAATAATTATTTATTTTTGTTGGAAAGGCAGACCTACAGAGAGAAGGAGAGACAGAGAAAAAGATCTTCCATCCTCTGGTTCACTCCCCAAGTGGCCACAACAGCTGGAGCTGAGCTGATCCAAAGCCAGGAGTCAGAAGCTTCTTCTGGGTCTCCCATGTGGATGCAGGATCCCAAGGCTTTGGGCCATCTTCCACTGCTTTCCCAGGCCACAAGTAGGTAGCTGGTTAGGAAGCGGATCAATGGGACATGAATCTGTGCCCACATGAGATCCTAGTGAGGATTCAGCCACGGAGCTATCCCACTGGGCTCGTATTTTTGCATTTCTATAACCCCAAGGAAGCACCCTCACCCCACAGCAGATCTTGGTGGGGCTCAAAATGCTACCCCTGTTCTCAGCCTTTGGACTCTAGGAACAGTTGGTTCCACCTTGGGAATTATAGGGACCCAAAACAATCCAATCATTCCCATCATGGCCCAGAGGACCAGACACACAACATGAGCTTTGGTAAGGAAAAGGTCAGTCATGATCTAGTGCCGGGTGCCTGGGAACACAGAGCTGGCCAGGGTGCACTAATGATCAGCCACATGACAGTGGGAAACTATGTCCCAAGAGAGAGGAATGGCAAAGCCTGCCAAGCAGACCCCACAAACAGGCTTTGGCAACTTCAGGCCACAGGATAACCCACACTCAGCATTGTCTGGCATGCAACTGACCAGGACAGCCGGGAAACTAGCCACAGGCCAAAGGCGGTCTCCTGGACTGACCTTGGCATACCGCTTTGTTGGTGCCATTTGAATTTTTTTTTCATTTATTTTTAAAAAATGGAATGAAGGGAAATGTATAAAGGAATTCTTCATCCATGTGAGTTATGGCCTGGTCTGTGTTCCCAAGAACAGTGGAGGTTGTCTGGTTGGATACGGGTTATGGGTGCGCCCAGAAACCACCACCGTGGAAAGATTTGCTATGATCTAGTTCTACTAAGGCTCGCAGCTGAAAATCTGATGTTTCCTCACTGTCCAGAAGACAGCTCTCCCCGTCCACTCCAAACCTCACTGAGTCCTCAATAGTCCCACAACCTAGAACCTTCCTTTCTCAAAGATTCAGCCTGCCCCTGGGCTTCCCCTGAGCAAACTCCCTACCTTCCTGGGGTGCAGCTAAGCCTTTTAGGTCCTCCTGACTGATCTTGAATGGGTAGGAAGCATGTGCCATAGCTCTGAGCAGGATCTGTGGACCCCCACCTCCCCAGTGGTCAAGCCCAACTGGGAAGCTCTGTGTTCGAAGCTTTTATGCTCAACTACCTCCTAAGTCAGGTCTTACTGTTCCTGTCTGACACACCAGGGGAAAAAAGAGAGAGAGAGAGGGAGAGAGAGAGACTCTGAAAGATGAGAAAGTGAGTGTAGGCCAAGGACGAGTCCCTGACCCATGAGAGGTAACAAGATGGCTGAGTGCTGGGTGCAGTGTTATTTCTCACACTGTCCTGAGAGTTGGGCAGCACCCCTACCCCAGATGAGGAAGCAGAGATGCAAAGGGACTGGAAGACCTCAAGGTTGTGGTCTTAACTGTTCTAGTCTCAGGTCTCTGCTAGTAGAGAGGCCATGGGTCCTGCCTATGTTTCTGACTGACTGCACTGTGGCCAGGTGCAGAGCACCCACTCCTGGAGCACCCCACAAGGTTCTAGTTAGGTCCCAACAGGTTAAATGACAGAGTTCCAGGCTGGCATTGTGGCCCAACAAGCTAATCCTATACCTTCAACCACCAGGA